CACATACTTACTAACTCTGGATCCTTTTGGAGGGAGAGGATGATTATGAAAGTATTAAGTGAGTGTGTCTGTTGAAACTTGAATAATATCACTTCATGAGACTGACATGCTGCCTACTGCACTGAGAGCGACAATATCACTTACTTTAAATAAAAAAATCTTTAATGTGTAATAGTGTTTTCCTAAAGGGATCTAGTAATTTATCCTTCATTTTCAGACTTCCTATTACCTGAAGTAAGATTAAAAAAGGAAAGGATAGTGTAGAAGTCAGATTCTGATGTTTCACAAGAATTTTCATGATCAGAAATTTTCATTCACTTCTTCCTAACTACCTGATAGTTCACGTCTACTTTGAATTTTCTTCAAGAAGTATTGTCTACATAGGCTCAAATGGTGATTTTTTTTTCAGGGTGTCTTTTATTAATCTTACTTGTATATTTGCTTTTCTTACCCAGTTTCCTTGTCTGTCTCCAAATTCCTTTTGGCCTTTTATAGAAGAGCTGCATGTGAACTGCTGGTGTGTTATCATGTATAGTTGCTGCTTAACAAATATTCCATAGATGAAAGTTGAAAAGGATTGGCCGATCTGAACTGTTAATGGGTCCGTGAGTGTACAGTGGTACTAGTATGTCATGATTGCCTCTGGATCCATTCCTATATACTGTAGTTTAGTCACCTGAAAATTCTTTTAATAGCTTGTTTATCTGTTATTTTAAAATAGTTAAGTTCCCTTAACATATTCCGAGACACAGGTCTTAGTTGTACCATCTAAAATCTTATCCTTTGTTTCTTAAGAAAATACAAAGATGATGGAGCTGGAGAGATGGCTCAGCTGTTAAGAGCACTGGCTGCTCTTGCAGAAGACCTGGGTTCAGCTCTCAGCAGCCACATGATCCACCTAGCAGCTAACAGTTGTCTGTAACTCCAGTTCCAGGAGATCCGATGCCCTCTTCTGACCTCCGTGGGCATTGCATGATGGGTGTACTTCATACATGTAGGCATGACGTTCATACACATAAAACATAAAAATAATATAAATAAAAAAATTTAAAAAAAGAAAATGCAAAGGTGGAACTGGAGAGATGACTTAGTGGTTAAGAGCACTGGCAGCTCTTACAGAGGACCTGGGTTTGATTCCTTGCACCCAAATGGTGGCTAACAACCATTCATAACTCCAGTTCCAGGGATCCTGCACCCTCTTCTGACCTCCATGGACATTGTGGACATGGGTGCACTTATACATGCACCTAATATAAAAATTATATATACCTGGCTTTGGTTGATTTTTTTGTTTTTTGGTCTTTTTGAGACAGGGCCTCCCTGTAGCCCCAGCTATCCTGGAACTCACAGAGATCCACCTGCCTCTGCCTCCGGAGTGCTGGGATTAAAGGCGTGCACCACCACGCCTGGCATAAATCATTTTTTAAAAAGTAGAAAACAAAGGTTTTGGCTGGCAGAAGGCACTCACACTCCACTCAGAAACCATGTCGGGAAATGGCCAGCTGCTGTCCTTGGTGATGAAATTATTTCATGTGAATTCTTAAAACAACTAGTTAAAAAAGCAAGAGCATCTCCTATGTATTGTTTTTGGTCACTGTTGGTATCTTCTTAGATCTATTTTAACTTCTAGAAAAAATGCAGACTCCAGTATGTTAATATTTGAGTTCCTGACTGTCAGGCAGAGGAAATGTTTAACTATTTTTATCATGTTCTTATATCCCAAAAAGAAAGCGCTTATGAGAGGAAATGATAACATCTCACCACAGAGTTATCTCTTATCAGTTATAGTCTCTGTGGATAATGATTTGTCAAATTTGGACATGTGTAAAATGCAAGGGCTGTGCTATTTACTTTGGAAAGGAAAAATTAGATGAAGCTGATAAAGGAGTTATGGCTTTTGTTAGGAGATAGTCGTTAGAGACAGTCATTGTTAGCTTAGGAAAGTGTCCTTGGACCCCTCTCTGCTGGAACTTAAACCTGCTTGAATCATTCTTTGCAACTCAAGGGGAGAGGGAGCAAAAGAGGGGAAGAAAATATGAAGCCTGCATTGTCAGAGCTAGCATTTGGAACAGAGCAAAATGTAGACCTTAAAACAGATATATTGCTGCTTATGATCCAGGGAAGCTACTTTTGTTCTGGAACTCTCCTTTGCCCCCATTTATTTAGATTTTGGAAAATGCATTCCATCTTGTAAAAGGGTGGCATTCCTTCACGTACAGTGCTTGTTGCTCTTCTCTTGCCTTTTGTAGATGTGATTCTTTTTCATTAGTAGAAGTAGAGAAAACACATCTAGCTCAAAGCAACATGAGTCAGTGCATACTTGACATACCTCTGTCCTCACAGCACTCTCTGCTTCTTCACAGTGCTCATTCCTAGTGTGCTCACAGCAGGGAGCAGGGAGGAAAATTATTTCTAAATATTGGGCTGTTTGGGGCAGAGAGGAAGCAACTGTGAGCTGAAGCCCTGTTTTACTCCTTTACTTTCCCCCTAGATCTCTTTGTGGTCCTTTCAAAGCAGATAGCCATGCATGTATTTGGGAGAATTTATCTGGTGTTGGTTCTTAAGGCCAAGAAATAGTACAGCCAGTGCCTGCATGTCAGGATACTAAACATTTTGAAGCTGATACAGTGATAACAAGCAGCTTCGTAGACAACAGGCTTACTGCTGATGACAGAAAAAAACCTTGTCACCTTTCAATAGATGATACCTTTGATTTTAAACATGAGAGGAACCAATGCTAATCTATTAGTAATAAAATATCTCTTTGCTAAAGGGCCTGCTAACCCAGTTGTCACAGATCTCTAGGGAAACGTCCTGTGGTATTGCAGTTCATTGTATAAGGATGGCTCTGACAAGTCAGTGGGCCAATGTCCTACATGAGGAATGGCTACCATCAGCTTTCTGTTGAGAGAAACTATGACTCTGAAACTAAGTATACTCAAATAAATAAACAAACGGGAGAAAGAGCTATGAAACAAGACTATGGTTGTGTTTGTTAATCAAATTTAGGCAAGAAAAGTTCTTTAAACCTTAAAAGATAGCATGGCAGCTAACAACTGTCTATAATTCCAGTTCCAGGGGATCCGACAGCCTCTTCTGTCCTCCACGGGCATCACACGACACGGGTGCACTTACCTACATGCAGGTAGTACATGCATACACATAAAATAAAATAAAAATAATAAAATATTAAAAAAAGATATTTATCATAAGTAACTAAATGAGAGTTTTGTTTCTTATACAGGTGAGTTTTTACATGACATATTTCCTTTTGTCTTTTTTCATGTATATGCATTGTTTTAATGTAGTGTAAATACCATTATGAATCTTTTTATTGTCTCTTTCTTGTTTTTCTTTTGAGGTTGTGACTTACATAGCTGTTGGCTCTGGTTTTCTGGCAAGATTAGAGAATTTTCCTGGTATTTTGGCAAGAAAAAAATGGGCTCTGGTTTTCTGGCAGGATAAATTTCCCTAAAATTTGTACATTGCCACCACTGAGGGGTATCTATAAAGATTGTTTCATGTCATGCTTACTTGAAATAAGAGACCAAAATTATTCTTGGGCCATGTCACAGGATATTGAGGACGTTTTCAGTGATCTTTAGGTTCTGACAGAATGTTGTTTTGCTTACAGAGGATCCAGTACTCAAAAAGCTTAAATATAGAGACCTAATCTTTTGCCCTCGTGGTGCAGATGTAGAGAACAGTCAATAAATTTGAACCAATAAAGATGGGGTTCAGTAGTGTCTAAGGGAAAGCCGATGAGGAAACATGTTGTCAGGCTGTAGAATGAATTAAGACTGCATTAAGAAAAGAGTTTGTTAGAGAAACTGTGCCCCAAAGAAGAAATGGGTTTGGTTTCTGAAAGAAAGGAAACCAACCTTGTAAGCATGAGTCAGCCTAGCTTAACTTGGATGCGTTTATTAGCTTTGTGCTGGTGAATCAGGGAGTTAGCAGTGTGACAGGAAAAACATCACCTAGGTCTTTATTTTATTTACATACTTTTCTTCTTGTTTTCCTTTTCCCTTTTTGTTTCACTTTGTTTTCTTTAACATGTACTTTCAGCATCTTCTTTTATTCTTATTGAATTCCTTATACGTCAAATAATAGTTTCCTTTGAAATTTAGATGAAAATTGATTCTGACTTCCTGCTTCTCAGGTTACCAGTGAATTAGTTTTAGTTCTGAGAATTGTCTTCAGTTCTTACCTGAATTTTTAATTTTTTTATTTTGATGTGTAGGTTTAGTCAACATGTCATTATTCACTTTAAAATATGTTGGAATGACTTTTAAGTTTGGCTTTTCTGTTTGTTATCTTATTTGTTTTACACAATGTCCCCTCCATTCTGTATTTTGATTAAAAAGGACTTAGGCATTCTAATACTTATGCCCTTTAGAAGCAGACTAATCATTAATGAAAAAATTATCTTGTGTGTCAAGTTTAATTTTGTCAACTGAAACTCAGCTTTTATGTAAACTGGACATATCAGAAAGAGAATCAGGTTGCAAAGTCATAGCTCCATCTTTTCATTTTCCCCTAGAGGCCCCATGGCTCATGTGTGTCTGAAGACAGATGCAGGACCCATGCAACATGTGTCTCTTCTCCCCTCCACTATGAGATTGTCCCTCCAGTGCTGTATATCTTACAACTACAAGAATAGTTCGGGAGCATTTGCCATTGTTTCTTTGTTTTTTGTGTTAGATTTTTTGAGACCGGGTTCTTGTAGCTAAGAATGACCTTTAAACTTTTGATTCTTCCTGCCACCACCTCCTTTGTCTAGGGTGACACCTTTGTGTCCTCCTTGAGAACATGATTTAAAAATAAAACAAAACAAAAAATTGATTTATATTTTTTATTTGTTTATTTTATATTTACCACTTAGATTTTAGATCTAGCCTTAAAAGCAAATCATCACTGTAGTAGTAGTGGGAAAAAAATTAGTGCAGTTGTTTGTAATAGCTTTATTTGCTTTTTTTTGATAATAATTTCAATGTTTCTAGGTACCCGGGGCCCAAGACTTGGTGGATTTCTCTCCTGTTTATCGATGTTTACACATATATTCTGTCCTGGTGAGTCTTTGCCTGTTCTACACATAAAGATATGTGTTGATTGAAGAATTCTGATTTATTGGTTTTGGTAGTTTTTATTTTTCTTTTAAGCAAAGTTTTATCTGCTGAGTATTAACTAATTCTTTTGCTCTTGCTTCACTCTTTTGTTTATACTTGCTGTGTAATGGTTATATAGCTAATGACATTTCAAATAGCCATCAGCAGATTGCTAGGTTATAACTAGGAATAGTCACATACATTCCTATTTCTGTTCAAATCTAACATATTTAACCTGTAATAACTCACTTTTTCACAGTGAAGTAGTATTTCTGAAAGCTATTTATATTTTATTCCCTGATTACAATTATTCCCATAAGCACATGAAGTAAACTTTCTAAAGGGACAATGCCATGGGTTTTAATAAACTTCTAGGAAGTGGCCTTTTCTCCACCTTGGCCATCTACACAAAAGTTCAGTCTCCATTTGGATTTGCTGATAAAAGTGTGTTTTTCTTTATATATGTACTACTCATTTCATGCCTGGTTTTGTTTTGTTTTTGGTCTTTTAGACACAGGGTTTCCTTGTAACCTCAGCTGACTCCTAACTCACTATGTAGACCAGGCTGGCCTTGAATTCACAGAGATCCCCTTGCTTCTGCCTCTGGAATTAAAGGAGCGTGTGGCACCACACCCAACTTCATGATTTCATGACTATTTTATTTTATGTTTTTAAACTTTAAAAGAAATTTTATTGAGAATTTTATACATGATATAAAGTGTTTTGATCAAATCCATGCCCACTCCCTCCTCTCCAACTCCTCCCATATCTCTCCATCACTTTTTCCTGACAACTTCATGTTCTCTCTCTCTTTTCTTTCTTTCCTTTTTCCCTCCCCCCTTCCTTCTTTCCTTCCTTTTGGCTTTTTGCTAATCTAACATTCCCCCTCTCTGAAGAGGTAACCCTAAAATCTTTTAGGGGTTAGACAAACGCTCACAAATACTTTGGACATTTTTGGCCTTTGGAACAGAGTATGTTGCTAAGGGGCCCAAGGACATTTTGACGTTTAGCCAACAAACTGGCTACTTTTCTTTGGGGTCTTATTTACCCCAACTGCCTAGCCAGTTCCTACCTCCTATTTACATCACACCATCCTCTGAAGAGGTTAGCCAAATTGCCAATAGGGAATTGGGACACAGACTGCTCTGGCTTCTTCCATGCTGATCAGGGTTGCAGGATGAGGTAATTGGGGTACCCCTTCAATGGGTTGATCTAAAAGACTCCCAAATTACATAACTCTTATCTGTAGGGAGAAAAGTAATTCCTTGACTGGTTCGTAGGAGATGTGAAGGAGAAGTAAAGACAAGAGTAGTTAGCATTACAAGTTCTAGACAGGGAATCAGAAAAATCACAACATGGCAAATTTCAAATGTTCATATGAGAGTCCATTGGAATTTCTTGATGAGCACTCCCAAAAACATCCCTCTATTGGATTCCTCCTCATTTTTCTTTTGTCTACCAAGGCTGGAATCAAGAGTGATAGACTCAGGGTTTGGTTTCAGGCACTTTGATAGCTGTTAGAGTGGCTAGAATCAGTGTCAATTCCCTCTCAAAGGTTTCTAGATAGCAGGGAGAAAACAAATTTATCCATCATTTTAGAACAATAGTGGGTTGTCTCCCTTAGGTACAGGTGGGCACTACAGTATTGCAGACCAAGATTTGAAGTCTTACATCTGAGCAGCACTTTCTGCTTAGAAACAAAATCGTCAATGAGAAATAATTGCCTATGACTTCAGCCTAATGTCTGGGAAATATAATCCTTTGAACTCTGAAAAATATTGATCACTTTAATCTTTGGTTATACTTTCCTTTCAGGTGTTTAAAACCATACAGTTGGCTTAAATAAACCAATTTGTTTTTACTCTTAAGATCCTTTGAGGATCTGTTCCTCAGGGCTCACATGGGCTTGGGAGGAGCCCTCTGGCTCCTTTCTTTCACCAGGTCCATCTATGCGAAGATAAGTCAAAGGTCCTGCTTGAACGTGGCTGGCTTCACTTGGAAGCATGGAGGAAATATTTCCTGAGTTGACCCTTCTCTTTGTAGACTGGACACTGGTTCAAGTCCATCTGGTGGGCTTTCCATGGCCTCCCTGAACAAGAGGACAGGTGACTCACCACAGTTACAGGACATTCTGAGAGATGCTCCATAGTCCCCTGGAACTTAGTCGACCTTGGTGAGCAAGGAGCAGAAAACCGTCCTTTTAGTCCCTCTGATCACATTAGTATAGGCCTCAAAGTATGGCTGTTAAACATCCAAGAAGATTAGTTCCACCAATCTGTACTTTTAATTACCCTGTGCTATGTAGATAAAGCTTGGGCAAAAACCAAACATTCTCAGAAAAACCTTGACTAGACATATAGTTTGTTCCTTAAACTAGTTGACTAATCTATAACCTTAGAAAATTTAAGATTATCTGTATATTTTTGTCTCATCCTTTACATATCATAACAAACCTACAGTGACCTTCATCAGTCGCTTAGGCTTTCTCATTTTTTCTGTTTATTTTGGAAAATGTCTCCATTCCCATATCCTTTTAACATCTCTTATATTCTCATTTTCTTTTTAAATAATTATGAGACACAATAACATTAACACATACATTTTCCATCTTGTGAGAATTCTTTTTCTGGAGATACTAAGCAATGCTTATCCCCTTTTAAGGTTCTAGTGTCAATTAAAGTTTTAATGTTTAATTAAAGTTTTCCTGGAAAACCAATGACTTTACTGAGCTTACTTACAGGGATGACTGAGGGGTTGCTGAGGTGTATGAGTGACCTGAAGGTATGAACACTGGAAAGACTTTACCTAGCATGGATCAAGCCTTCTCTTCCTAGCCTTCCCCAGATTATATACTTTAGCCCTCCCTAAATCCAGGAGACCATTTGTGATTAGGACCAAATTACATACAGTTGTCTGGGAAGAGTGGATGGATACTCTGGTGAGGGTTCAGTGACCCTGCTTACCCCTCCTTTAATGAAGGAGCACAACTGAAGTTGTGATGATGGTAGTTATTTCACACAGAAGAGACTGCTGCACAGCATCAGCTTATTAAAAGGACCTGGAATTTAAAAGGGTTTGGTGCTAGGATCCACAAATCAGGTAGAACATATGTCGTTGGTTTTTCAGAGTCTGTGTTACTTCACTTAGTTTAAAAGTTTCTAAATCCATCCATTTACCTGCAAATTTCATTATTTTATCTTTTTTTTACTGCTGAATAGGGCTCCATTGTGTAAATATACCACATTTTTGTTAACCACTTGTCAGTTGAGGGATACCTAAGTTGCTTCCATCTCTTAGCTGTTGTGAAAAAAGCCACAACAAACATGGATGAGCAAGTAGTATCTCTACAATAGAATGAGTCCTTTGGGTATATGCCAAGGAGTGGTATAACTGGGTCATATGGTAGGTTCATTTTTAGTTTTTTAAGCGTTCTCCACACTGTTTTCCATAGCTGATGCATGAGTTTGCAATCCCACCGGCAGTGAATGAGTGTTCTCCTTTCTCCACATCCTCGCCAGCATTTGGTATCATTTGTTTTCTTGATCCTAACCAGTCTAACTGGGGTAAAGTGATACCTTAGGGTGGTTTTAATTTGCATTTCCCTAATTACTAATGATGTTGGGCACTTTTTGAAATGTTTCTTAGCCGTCTTTATTTCTTCCTTTGAGAATTCTCTGTTTAGATTTAGCCCATCTTTTAATTGGGTCATTTGATTTCTTGATACTTTGTTTTGTGAGTTCTTTATATATTGTGGATGTTAAACCTCTGTCAGATATGTCACTGGTGAAGATTTTTTCCCATTCTGTGGGTTTTCTCTCCACTTTTTTGATTGTTTCTTTTGCTGTACAGAAGCATTTTAATCTAATGAGGTCCCACTTGTTGATTGCTGGCCGTAATTACTGAGCAACTCCTGTCTGATTTAGAAAATCCTTTCCTACACCTATATCTTGTAAGTTACTGCCAATATTTTCTTCTAATAGTTTCAGGTTTTCCAATTTCATATTGAGGTCTTGATCTATTTGCAGTTGACTTTTGTGCAAGTTGAAAGATAAGGATCTAGTTTCATTCTTCTACAGGTGGAGATCCAGTTTTGCCAGCACCATTTATTGAAGATGCTGTACTTCCTCCATTGTGTGTTCTTGGCACCTTTGTCAAATATCAGGTGGCTGAAATTGCATGTACTTGGGTTTGGGTCTTCAGTGATGTTCCACTGATCTAAGTGTCTATTTTTGTGCCAGTACCATGGTGTTTTTATGACTATATCTCTGTACTACACTTTGAGATCTGGTATAGTAATCCCCCCAGCATTACTCTTTTTGCTCAGGGTTGCTTTGGTTGTTTGAGGTCTTTTGTGCTTCCATATGAATTTAAAGATTTTTTTTTCTAATTCTGTGAAGTATGTCATGGGGATTTTGATTGGAATTGCATTGAATGTATATATTGCTTTTGGTAGGATTGTCATTTTCATATTATTAATTCTTCTAATCCATGAACATGAGAGAATTGCTGAGCCATTTTCCAATCCAATATTCTTGTCAATTACTTAAACTTACATCTTTAAATACCAAAGTATGTTTCAATTTTATTTTGTGTTCTTTGTTTTTTCCTCTATCTCTTTCTTTAAAGATGTAAAATTTTCATTGTAAAGATCTTTGATGTCTTTGGACGTGTTTATTTCAGTGGTTTTTTTTTGCAGGTATTATGAAAGGGAACATTTCCCTGTATTCGTCCTCCAGTTGCTTGTTATTGGTATATCAAAAGGCTACTGATTTTTCCAGATTGATTTTATAACCTGCCACTATACTGAAAGTGTTGATCAGTTCTAGGAGTTTTCTGGTAGACCTTTTGGGATCTCTTAGGTATAGTATCATATTATCTGCAAAAAGGGATAGTTTGACCTCTTCTTTTCCATTTAGTTCTCCTTTAATTTCCTTCTCTTATTGCTCTAGCAAGCGTTTCAAGCA